ATTGGAAGGAAGCATGGAGCGGCTGCAGCAGGAGCATGGACGAGGCACTATGGAGCAGAGAGCTTTGTGCTTCGAAGGAAAAGCAGTTCGGGCTCAGAGCCTGATATACAGGAGACTGTGGACTATCTAACATATATATAACTTATATCTAACATATATATATAACTTATAAACTGTGCAGTCGTTTGTTTTGCACTGTTCCTGTCTTTGTTTGAATCGTAGCTGCGTTTGTTGCTTTCCTCCTGCACTCGTAAATCGTTCATGTTTGTCTCAGATATTTACCACTATTATTGTTTTGCTGTTTGTGCTGAAAACTATTTAATAATAACTATGTTTCCAACAAGAACTGTGTCTTTATTCACAGCATCACAGTTGAAATGACTTATAAAATAATGAATCCATAAAACTATCACATAAACCTGCAGTAGAAACACGTGTAATGAGCTCAAACAGCTTTGTTTGCTATTGTTGTTCTGAAGAGGACAAAGTAGCAGCGTAAATGGGACCGCTCCTGTGTGATCGCCCTCATGTGGTTTGTTGTGGGATTACAACATTCTCCTCAAAACTCCGTAAGGGGCACGCGCCAGTATAACATCAATTGTGCTTACGTAGGTCCACCGCAACCGCTAACGTAAGCCACGCCGCGCAATATACACTAGGCTTAACAAGTCGCTAAGACGGTTACTAGAAGTACCGGCGTTTTTACCCACCCAAGATGGTTGCTAACATTTACATGTCTTGATATGCAAATGTGGTTAATGACTGTAAACAGCAGGGGGCTGGGGTGGACTTTGTTTATTCGTGTGGGGGAGGAAGAGCTGCAAATGAGTGGAGAGAGTTCATTCCTTTATTTATTTTTTCCTGAAAATATTTCCTAAATTGAACAATTGCTCTCAGATGAATTTCAGCTTCACTCATGAGGTTTGTGTTTTAGTGTTCACATTTGTCACAGTTCTACCATAATGATATTGCTCATGTTTGTTCTACTTAAATACTGTAAGTGACTGTATTTTTGGTTGCACAATGCTGCAGAATTGCAAAGAGCATATGTTCTTGTGAAAGACATACAGTACACATACATATATAAATATACACACACACACACGCACACACACACACACACACACACACACACACATACATACACATTACAGTATGTATGAAAGTAACTGGTTCATGTCGAAAAGAATTTGTAATGTGTTCATTGGAATAAGAAACTGCTACAATGATGTGCACTGAAGACTCAATGTTGTGGAGGTTGAACTAATAGTTATTAGAACTTTAAGGCCCTGTCCACACGAAGTCAAGCTCAGGCCTAAACGCAAAAATACTTTATCAATCCAGTGTATCGTCCATACGAGGCCGGCGTTTTGGGGGGGTGTAAACGAACATTTTTGAAACCAGGTCCCAGAGTGGAAAGATTTCAAAACTCCGTATATGCCGCTCCGTGGTTACTGCCTCTCCGCAATGTATCTGAGACGCTTGCGTCATCGCCCCGCCTCTTGTTAAAGCACGCATGCTCCGCACTCAGAAAATAATGACAACAACAATGTAGCTTGTTGGTTTTGTAATCCAGTGTGACCCGAAGCAACAGTTCAACCTCATCGTCCGTTCATACTAATGTAGTACCAGCTCGCCCACTCGCCATGTTGTCTGTTTACAAAATTCCTCGCATGCCCACGGAAGTTTGGGCTTGATCCCGTCATTGCGTCACAGCGCCACCAACAGGTCTGGCATAGTTTCACAGCGTTTTCAGGCGTATTGACTACATTCATATGGACGCACACATTTACTGAGCTAACTCCGTGTTTACAGAAAAAGTTTCTGAAATTATAAGCGTTTTGTCTTCGTGTGGATATAGCCTAAGTCTGAAGTGAGAAATGCACCAATGCCACTGAGAAAAACTGCAACATTCAGATCCTCCCCCTCCCTCTCCCCCTAATGGCAAAGTAAGGCAACTTCAGCTCAGCCTGTGATAATTGCCTTATTTACATAACGAAGTAAGCCATTCACAGGTGATTTAGTTTGTTAGCTAAAATCCTTGAAGTCATTTGGCACCGTGGTGGGCTTTTTAGGTATAAGTGCCAAATGTGTTATGGCAATCCTCGACATAGATATGTCACAAATGGTTACTGAGCTAGCTGAGTGAGCTGACTTTTTTCATGTGAGTCAATAGGAGCTAGAGCGATTAGCATTGTCCATCTGCAAACAGTCTATTAATGAATGTGACTCTCTCTAGTCCTGGCTGCACATTGCTGCTACTTTTGAAGAAGATGACAAAGTCTGGGATCGCGTCTTTAATTCAGACAGAAGACATGTTTTATTGTCGATGGTAGAGACAGCACAAACAACACGAACAACAGAATGCAAGTGTATTATACAGAGCGGAGGCATGGAGACCTCCAATCAGCAGCTGCCACAGTGCCAGCAGAGATAGTCAAAACATGAAGTGGAAAAGTACAGGCTTCTGCACATTGATAGAATGATGAGTTTAACTCATCAAAAGTTGTGTGTTATGAAATCTCACACTTTCAAAGACTTAATCTATAAATTGAAGGGTTGCTTTGACCTTTCTGTTTTCCTAGTGGTAAAAGGCTGACACGAGTCTAAAAACACGAGTCTGCAGTGTGTGAAGGAGTGTTTAGAGTAATACAAGCTCACATTTGGTCTCCGTGGTCAGACCCTGGTCTTGTTCCACCTCTCAGTCGGTCATGCTCCGGTCTGTGTTGCATTTGGGTATGGATTCCTGCCGTATCTGAACTCCATCTCTCTTTGAAGTTCAAACAGCCCTCTCCCCATCAACAGCTTATTTGTTAAGATAAAGAGGACAAAAGATTTACAAGACTTACTTAGGATTATGTGTGTGCGTTCCCCAACCGGGGGGACGCAGGAGAGGGTTTTACAAGCTGCTTATACATCAATTTAAAGCTAATTCTCTCAATAAAACAATAGAATTATTTATTTGTTGCTTAATATTAGGCACGAAATTCAATTCATATAAAATATGATATTTAATGAAACTTTTATATGTGTTGAAAAATGAATACAGAGACAAAAAGTGAACCATACACACAAGGACATATGGTGGAGAGCGAGATACAGGACTGAGGCTGTAGATCCAGGACTGAGGCTGTAGATCCAGGACTGAGGCTGTAGATCCAGGACTGAGACTGTAGATCCAGGACTGAGGCTGTAGATCCAGGACTGAGGCTGTAGATCCAGGACTGAGACTGTAGATCCAGGACTGAGACTGTAGATCCAGGACTGAGGCTGTAGATCCAGGACTGAGGCTGTAGATCCAGGACTGAGGTTGTAGATCCAGGACTGAGGCTGTAGATCCAGGACTGAGGCAGTAGATACAGGACTGAGGCTGTAGATCCAGGACTGAGGCTGTAGATCCAGGACTGAGGCTGTAGATCCAGGACTGAGGCAGTAGATACAGGACGGAGGCTGTAGATCCAGGACTGAGGCTGTAGAATATTCAGACACAACCAAATAATATCCTATGATCACATGGGTCTGGGCAGTGGGTTTCCCTCTCCCTGTGTGTTTGTTATTATTGCATATCCTGTGTTCGAACGGTTTGATTTCCTAATCTGTTAAAGTCATGTGTTTAATGCACCACAGTCATAAAGATCCACATCTGCTTTATAGATCGTTAATGTCGGCCTCAGAGAGGTGAGGGTGAGAAGAGGTGAGGGTGAGGAGAGGTGAGGGTGAGGAGAGGTGAGGGTGAGAAGAGGTGAGGGTGAGGAGAGCTGAGGGTGAGGAGAGGTGAGGGTGAGGAGAGCTGAGGGTGAGGAGAGGTGAGGGTGAGGAGAGCTGAGGGTGAGGAGAGGTGAGGGTGAGGAGAGCTGAGGGTGAGGAGAGGTGAGGGTGGAAAGATCTTTATTGTCAATTTGACTTTTTTTTTAACCTGCTTTCTGTTTATTCCTGTCTGTTTCATAAATGCACTGATGGGACCCAGACCCTGGACTCCACCTGGACCTGGACCTAGACCTGGATCTGGACCAGTCCCAGTCTGAGAGAAACCCCGGTGAGGACTCTAGCTTCCAAGAAAACCTGAGCCGTACTTCCTTCCACAGGTGTCAAAACTCAGACCTGTATAAACACGATTCTTCCTCAGGCCATGATCCGCTGCCAACAGCAGGTGCCGTAACCGCGTCACCACAACACAACACAACTACAGCGAAAGAACAACACAACTACAGCGAAAGAACAACACAACTACAGCGAAAGAACAACACAACTTTGTTTTGTTTTACTATGTCATGTTCATTTTGTTTTATCTGATTTTAATTTACCTGTTGTAGCACTTTGAGGTTTCTTTGAAATGTAAAGTGCAATATAAATAAAATGTATTATTATTATTAACTACGACAGAAATACAACACAACTACGACAGAGGTACAACCCAAAAGCTTTCAAATATCAAATCATTCTCTGCTCTGTCTTTCCCTTGGGTTTAGTGTCTGGTGTCGTTTCACAGCGATTTACAACAATCCAGTGTCAGGGGAAATTCCTTGGTTGGCTTCCAGCAGCACTCTATCCAATTAGAAGTTAGAACACTTAGTAACAGCTCGGCCTGGATAGAACCGAGTCCAAATGGGACCAGAGAAGGACATGGGACCTGGTACTGGTTAAACAAAGCCAGTGGAAACACTCCCAATCGGGGTAGAGTAGAGTAGAGTAGAGTAGAGTAGAGTAGAGTAGAGTAGAGTAGAGTAGAGTAGAGTAGAGTAGAGTAGAGTAGAGTAGAGTAGAGTAGAGTAGAGTAGAGTAGAGTAGAGTAGAGTAGAGTAGAGTAGAGTAGAGTAGAGTAGAGTAGAGTAGAGTAGAGTAGAGTAGAGTAGAGTAGAGTAGAGTAGAGTAGAGTAGAGTAGAGTAGAGTAGAGCAGAGCAGACCGAAACAGGCCCCTAGATATTTGTGCAATTTTAGATGTTTAATGTTATTCTGATTGTTCTTGTTCTGCAGATGTTTCATTCTGATGTGCATTTTCTCAAGATTGGTTCACCTCCCTCTCTTCTTGGTTCTCTCCTCGTGCACCGCCGCCGCACCCCCTTGGTCCTGTTGTCTTGAGGCTTGGGGACAGACGCTGCAGGATGATCCCGTGTTGGGGGAGTGCCAACCTGAGGCCAGTGAGTTCGCGGCCGCAGCAGAAAATAGAAAGTGTTCTAATCCCACAGTGAGCTCTGTCTGAGAGGTTCCAGGAGACGATGATTACGTCTGTTTCAAGCACCTCTATGTAGAGAGTCCATGAGAGCAAGGAGAGGGAGGGGCTGGCCTCCTGCTGCATGTGAACCAGGGGACATGGGCCTCCTCCTGCTGCAGGTGAACCAGGGGACATGGGCCTCCTCCTGCTGCATGTGAACCAGGAAACATGGGCCTCCTCCTGCTGCAGGTGAACCAGGAGACATGGGCCTCCTCCTGCTGCATGTTAACCAGGAGACATGGGCCTCCGTCCGCTGCAGGTGAACCAGGAGACATGGGCCTCCTCCTGCTGCATGTGAACCAGGAAACATGGGCCTCCTCCTGCTGCATGTGAACCAGGAGACATGGGCCTCCTCCTGCTGCATGTGAACCAGGAGACATGGGCCTCCGTTCGCTGCAGGTGAACCAGGGGACATGGGCCTCCGTCCGCTGCAGGTGAACCAGGAGACATGGGCCTCCTCCTGCTGCATGTGAACCAGGGGACATGGGCCTCCTCCTGCTGCAGGTGAACCAGGAGACATGGGCCTCCTCCTGCTGCATGTGAACCAGGGGACATGGGCCTCCTCCTGCTGCAGGTGAACCAGGAGACATGGGCCTCCTCCTGCTGCATGTGAACCAGGAGACATGGGCCTCCTCCTGCTGCATGTGAACCAGGAGACATGGGCCTCCGTCCGCTGCAGGTGAACCAGGGGACATGAGACCCGCCCCCACGGGGTGAACCTGCCTTTTTCACACCACTTGAGTAATGTTGTCATTATATACACTATATATTTCTTTTATATTTGAATTCTATTTGGCAGAGGTTTGAGTGAATTTATGTTAATGCAGGTCTGCGCTAAAAAGATTGCGTTGGACCAAATTCCCACTAATTCTTCAAGCGTTAAGTTTTGAGATGCCATCTGATGGCTGCCAGAGAACCAGATTACTATCTTACTGTCAGTTACTGTGCCGTCGGGTATAATGGCTATTGCATGATACCTTCGTGGGTACATCTGAGAGCCATTATTATTATTTATTTGTTTTAAAATTGTGTCACACTTTACATACCGCTGCCAACTGTAACTCTGTATAGCACCTTATCGGACTGTATTTTAATATGTATCTTGGTAAACTTGCACTTTTTTTAACTGTATTTCAATGTTTATTTTAGTAACTTATTTTAGCACTTTTATTCAGCCATCTTTATAAAGCAACTGCACATTGTCCTTGATAAATCAAACTTCAAAAAAGATTTTAGGCTGCAAGACTAACACAGAATTATAACAGCCAGCGCTCCCTTCTTCAGTTTTGAACAGACCCAGGTCTAGAGACAGAATCAGGTCCAGAGACAGACCCAGGTCCAGAGACAGACCCAGGTCCAGAGACAGACCCAGGTCCAGAGACAGATCCAGGTCCAGAGACAGAATCAGGTCCAGAGACAAAACCAGGTCTAGAGACAGAATCAGGTCCAGAGACAGAATTAGGTCCAGAGACAGAACCGGTCCAGAGACAGAATCAGGGACAGACCCAGGTCCAGAAACAGAACCAGGTCCAGAGACAGAACCAGGTCCAGAGACAGAACCAGGTCTAGAGACAGAATCAGGTCTAGAGACAGAACCAGGTCCAGAGCTTCTCTCAGCCGCAGCGGTGGGCTTGGGTCACTGTGGTGAGCTCTCCTCATGACCGTAACACGAGCGGCTTCACAGTGGGATCCATCATCGAGATCCAAACAAAAGCATTCCGTTTCCGAAGAGCAGCATCCGACGGCTCACACCTGTGTCTTCTGGAGCATCTTAAAGACGTACTGTGCTTTTCATCTGAGACACAAACCCACAAAGTAAACAGAGGACGATCAAAGACTAGCAGCAGGTAGAGGGTCTTTTTTATATTCATGTCGTAGAAGTTTATTATTATGAGATAAAAGATTCATTTTCAGAAATGTTAATAAATGTCCCGGATCATCACTGTTCTTAGACCGTCCTGCATCACTTAGGAACCAACCAAAGAAAGACTGAAAAAAGTGAGAAACCTCGGGGGGGCCCACATTAAGAGCTGGTACTGAGGGAAGTGGGGCGCACAAACCATCAACAGAGACGAGGGAGCCTTCACCTTCATTTCTCCACAAACCACAGGAGGAGCATGGTCCACATCTGGTAACAACAGCTGAGTTCTTCTATGAGAATAAGAGTAACTTGAAAAAGTATCTTTTTTTTCTCATTAGAAGAACCTTCCAAGGCTTAACTCTTAAAGGAGAAACCTTCCACTGGTTCTTTGTTGCATATGTTTGTAGTTTGTTTTTAAATGGTGAATGATACCATTTCAATTTCTTGACTGCCCCAAAGCCTCATTCCTGCTGTTTTAAAGTCCATTATAATGTTATTCCCTCTGGTCTCTTGCTGGTCTCTCTATCTCTAATCTCTCTCCTGTCTCACTTTGGTCACTCTATGGTCTCTCTCTCTCTCTGGACTCTCCCAGAGTGAGAGTTTGTAAAGTGCAAAGTGTCTTTAAGGTCCCTCATAGCTACCACAATAAATGTAGTTACCAACCTTTTTGTCCAGCACCTAGGGCTTTACATCACCACAGTGTGACCTTTGAAACCTACAGGCCCTACAGCACCGTCCTGAGGGTAACATTTCAAACTGCGCTCTCAGAAGATGCGCCAAAGATCTAATGATATAATTGGCCTCAGCGCCTGCCCAGAGCACAGGTCCCCAAGCTGAGCCTGTTTTTTCCCTCACACCTGATTGGCCACTTTAACCAGGCTGCCAAGTCTGTTTGTGTTTGCTCGGACTGCCACACCCTGCTGTAAAACAAGAGTGAAGCTCTTAACCATTACAGTTTGGACTGTCTTCCTTTATGAAGGTGTCCTTATATTGCTCCATGGACAGTGATGAGAAACTTGTCTTAGTTCACAACGGTGTGATTCTCTCAGGTCTGTCTTTCTCCCTGGTCCCTCTCTGCTCTATTTTTCTGGCCTCTCTCGGGTCTCCCTCTGGTCTTTGTCTGCTACCTCTCTGCTCTCTCTCTCTGGTCTCTCCCTGATCTATCTCTCTGGTCTTTGCCTGGTCCCTATTTCTGGTCTCTCTTTCTTAAGTGAGTAAGTAAAGTTTATTTGTATTGCACATTTCAATGACCAGTGTCACAAAGCGCTTCACACATTAAAATACATAAAATACACATACAAGTCAGATTTAAAAACAAAAACACAGAAACACACAGTTTCTGAAACACACTGTTCACAGAGGCCTATGAACAGTGAGGCGAGAAAGCCTGTCTAAACAAATGCGTCTTAAGTTCGGACTTAAAGTCATCGACAGTCTCTAAGATGAGGAAGGCCATTCCAAAGGCGAGGAGCAACTGCCTGGAAGGATCTGTCTCCTCTGGTTTTAAAGCGAGTGCAGGGGACCATCAACAGGTTCTGAGTGGAGGACCTCAGGCTCCTGTTGGAGACATAGGGGTGGATTAGGCCCTGGATGTATTCAGGCGCCTGACCATGAAGAGCCCTGAATGTCAACACTAGAATTTTAAAATTGGTTCTGTGTGAGACAGGGAGCCATTGTAAGGACTTCAAGATAGGAGTAATGTGGGCTCTCCTGTGGGTGCCGGTCAAAAGCCTCGCAGCAGAATTTTGAACGACTTGTAAACAAGCCTTTTTTACTAAGACATGTAAGCAGGCTGTTACAGTAGTCCAATCGCGAGGAAACAAAAACGTGGACAATCATCTCCAGCTCCTGACCCGAGACCATATGTCTGAGCTTGGAGATGTTGTGCAAGTGGAAGTTACAGTTACGGATCAGCTGTTTGGTGTGTCGTTCTAGGGACATCCCTTCATCAAAAGTGACTCCAAGGTTCCTCACACTCTTTTTCACTGAGCTGCTTAAGTCACCAAGGTGCTGAGTAATTGTAGGTCTGCGGATTCAGACACCACGTTGTTTGAGGACACACAGAATGTTCTACCTGTCAGGTATGATATAAACCACTCTAATACAGAGCCTGACGTACCAACCACATTCCATGGTCTAGAGACCAAGATACCATGGTCCACCGTGTCAAAGGCATAGACAGGTCTAACAGGACCAGGACAGAACATTTACCGGAGTCGGCAGCCATCATGATGTCACTAGACACTTTCAGTAAAGCAGTTTCAGTGGAGTGGAACTTCTTGAAACCAGACTGAAAGGTGTCAAAAATATTGTTAGCCTCCAAGAACGCTGTAAATTGATTGTAGGCTAGCTTCTCCAGGACTTTGGCCAAGAGTTCTGAAGATCTGTTGGGTCCAAGCTGGGTTTCTTTAATTGGGGCTCCACAACAGCATGTTTAAGAGAACACGGGAACACACCAGTTGAGAGCAACATGTTAAACATTTTAGTAATCGACGGACTGATAGACTCTAAAACATTAACAAAAAGCCCACAGGTTAGAGTCAGGGTTACACGACACTTTCATGCACTTTATAGTGGATAAAATATCCTCTTGAGTGACCGACTCGAAGGATGACCTGCTCAGAGGAGGAGGGTCAATGTAAGCTTGACTGGGGGAAGGAGAGGAAGGAAGATTGTCTTTAATCTCTCTAACCTTGTCAATAAAGAAGTTCAGAAACTCAGTACAACTTGCTCTGCACTGCACAGCGACAGCAGCGGCAGCAGGAGAGACAATAAAATTGATGGTGTCGAAGAGTACCTTGGGGTTTCTCTTATTTGAGACAATCAACTGCTGAAAATATTTTGATCTCGCCTCATCTAATTGATCGTTAAGAGAGGCGACAAGGTCCCTCAGATGCAGTATGTGAACCTCAAGTTTATTGGAATGCCACAAGCGTTAGATTTTACAGCAGGATCTCCGCTGATTCACACCATCCATTTCGCTGCTGTCATGTACAACAGAGGAATCAAAGCTTTCACAGAACCTTTCTGCAGTAGACTCCGTAATAATCCTCCTCTCTACTTTAGCAGGTAGAGGGCGAGGATCTGAAGACCCCAGCGGATCAAAAAACACACGTAATGGTCACTTAGGTGCACATCCTCAACACTCACATTGGCCACCAGCAGGCCCACTGTAAAGACCAGATCTAATGTGTGGCCTTTCACGTGAGTGGAGCCTGAGACTGAGAGGCTTCCGTCATGGATACAAAATCAGCAGCTAGACCCGAAGTATCCTCAATGTGCAGGTTAAAATCCCCAAGCTAAGACCTTCTCTAGTATTAAAATTGACGATGCAAAGTCAGTAAACTCAGCTAAGAAAGCACCAGCAGGGCCAGGGGGCGTTAAATCAAAACACAATAAAATGTGTTTGTAGAACCGATTTGCATCATGTGTGATTCAAAAGTTGTGAAGTGCTCCATACTCATCACTCTGCATGTAAACGCGTCTCTGTATACGGCCGACAGACCACCACCGCGGCGAGAGGGGCGAGGCGTCCCAAAAACAGAGCAATCCGCTGGACACAGTTCATTCAGGTGAATAAACTCATCCTCCCGTTGCCACGTTTCAACGAGGAAAAGGAAGTGCAAGTCTTCTTTTCTCTCTCTGGTCTATTTAGACCCTTTAATTTCCACATGTCCCTGACTTCCCTGAGGAGAGAAGAGGACATGGGTCTAAACAACGTGACCCACTTTCCCAGGCCAGAAAACACAGGTTTGAGTGAGAAAACGCTTCATGACTGACCATTTACCTGTACAGTGAGCCACACAGAACCTTTCACCTTCCGCTGATTAAGCCACTCTCCTCTAATCCTGCGTTTGTGTTCGGAATTAGCCAAGCAGCGATGGACTAACGGCTCAGACAAACAAATGGGTGATACCAGCTTTGTATTTGAGAATATTTTTAGCTTCTCTGTCTGAGGCCTGTGTGGGTTTGACCAGCTCCCAGTCCTGAGCAAATTGAAGCAGTTCACTTTAATTAACTGTACCTTATACTTTAAAGGTCAGCAACAAATGCAAGTGTCCATGTTGTGGTGGATTTCTCTTTTCATTTACACAAAGCTGTTTTATTACATGCGAGTGGTTTATAACTTCATATATACGCGGGCCGCCATTGCCCTCGCTCGAACCACACCTTGCCCCTCCCCCTGCAGAGACCTTATGCACACACAAACATCTGCAAGACAGCGAGGCCGTGTTATAGCAAGAGTCTAGTGTAAGTTGTTTCTGTACGATTCAGCAAAACGGGCCCCTGACCTGAGCCTGGTGAACTCCCAGTGAACTCATGTCTGTTATCTGAACGTGACACTGACCGCGGATCAGTTTTTATGACATAATCAAAGTCTTAGCGCCGCCACAATAAACTCAGAGACTCCATAACCCAGAGAAAACTGGAATCTAGTTGAGTTTAAAACTTACAAGTAATGGCTGCAAATTCAAATGAATTTAATTTGGAAAATAACAAAGGTTTATCGTATGACCCTGTAGTATCAGCCACTGTGTAGTAAGTGTTTTTGCCAAATAAATAAATTTCACACAGTCTAACCCTAACCCTAACCCTCTGTATAACTCCCACCAATAAGATTATTTGGAGGAGGATAGTTTGACCATTGGGGAGAGGCCTCGTATGTGTGTCAAGTATTTAAATGTATTCCCCCCAATCAGGGAGCGGTGGGGTGAGAAAGGGTGAGTCTACAGAAATTTCAAAAAGAAACTGACATTCACTTTGAAGGATACTGCTTCACCTGGCCCCATCCCCTCGG